TTCTGCTGGGGAAGGGGTTAAGAGGTTTTATTCCCTCCCTAACTTCAGGGGAAAATCCCTACCTGGGGAAACAACCTTTCTCAGAGAGGTGACCTTGGTTAAAACACATAGTGCCAAGAAGGGGAGCAAACATATTAAGAACAGTATGCCATATACGCCAGGTCCCTTGAAACATATGCTCTGCAGATGTTTCTTCCCTGCAGCGACTGTGTCAAGCAGCAAGGATGAACCGGCTCCCAGCACTTAATCACACAATGATTCATATTAATCATTCTCAGACCATGTGATCATTACACGCCTTTGAAGAGAATCCTTTCAGTGTTCCAAGTCACATTTGGAGATACAGTTGAAAAGGGCTGTGTGAAAATTCTATATAATACTAGAGGCCTGGTGCACAAAGTTTGTGCACGGGGGGGGGGGGGGAGGGAGATCATCTCCTCAGACCGGCCTACACCCTCTCCAATCCGGGACCCCTCAAAGGATGTCCAGGATCAGGCCTAAACCGGCAGTCGGACATCCCTCTCGCAATCCACGATCACTGGCTCCTAACAAAAGTCAGTTAAGTCCAGTGAAAGCTATTTCTGCTTTCTTGCTATGCACACAACTCTTTTTAGGTAAGAAAGCATAGAGAGGAAAACACAGGTGGAAAAAGACAATAGGGCTCAAAGCATTCTGAAGCTGCAACTAAAATTTCTAATACAAATGCCATCTTGAGGAAAAGTAATTTATTTGGTCTATAGAGGAGGGAATCGGTCAGATTCTAAGATTCAGAAGGAATCCCTTATCAGACGGCCACAAATAGATATAACTATGTAGTTTTTATAGCGATGTGAAGTTTAGACTAGCTGTGAAAAACTTTTTGCTTGGGCCTGAGATCTCAGAGAAATTTGTCACAGAGATGTCCTGACCATTGTTTTTATCATGATTCTTCGACAGCCATATTCATACATTCTAGAGGCAATTACACTTAAAATTTAAAAAAACTGTGAAATTAAGAATTTATTTTTTATGGCAGTTTTAAGTTCACAGCAGAATTGAGGGGAGGGTATAGAGATTTCCCATGTATTTCCTGCTCCTTCCAAATGCATATCCTCCCCCATTATCAATTTTCTCCACCAGAGTGATATATGTTGTTACGTGATAAACCTACGTGGACATCATAATCACCCAAAGTCCACAGTTAACATTCACAATTATACTTTTTTTTTTTAAAGAGAGAATGATTTCATAGAGGTATACATTTATTGGTATGGAAAGACATCCACAACATTCTTTTGACAGAAGTTAAAAAGCTGTCTATCTGGAGGACTCTGTTTAAATAGAAAATATATGTGCACAATACAGTTGAAGTGCATATATGCCACCATGTAACAGTGGGTATCTCTGGACATCACCGGGATCCACATACTATAAAGAAACTTTTTTCAGTAACAGAATTGGAACAGACACCTGCGGTTCGTGCCTTGTTTCACCTGGTGTTGAAGGTTCCCTGTCATGACCTGCACAGGAACTTAAGACCTGCACGCAGTGCAACCCACAGCCCAGCAGCGCTCCTCATCCTACTTAGCGCGGTGGTTACGGGGGAAGCTATGAGTGTATCTTCAGATACAGTTGGATCAAGTTTCTCAAGAAAAATGGGAAAAGGACGACTGATGCGCATGTTTTCTGACTCTAGGCCGGGCTCAGAGAGTGACACGATAACGCGGAGAAACTGAACTGAAAGTCACGCATCCTGTGCAGTAATTTCAAGTGGAAAACACGGGCGTGGGAAGCGTAGGGAGAGAGGCAGGTCGTCCTCCTGAGCCCCAGGTCCCACCTGCACTCACAGGGCGAGTTCCCTTTAAGGACAAGAGGCCCCGCTTCCCACGCCAGCCCCGCGCTCGGGCAGGGCCAGGGGTCCAGGTTTCGAAAACAAAGCACCGGGATCAGGGGCCGACCCGCAGGCGTGCGTCTGCCGTCCGGGCGGGCGGAGACTTCTTCGCGCAGGGAACCTGCGAGGTACCAATGGACGTCCAAGGCTCCACGTAAAAAAATCGTCCTATGAATCGTTCCTGTATGAACTGTATGAGCCCATCCGGGCTCCGCGGCTCCCGGAAGCGTCCCATACCCCAAGCGCCACCCGCAGAGCTCCGCCCGAGGCTCCCTGAGGTCGCCCGCACCTAGTGCGCAGGCGCGGAAAGCCGGGCCTCCAGCCAATCCCTGGCGGCCACGCCCACGCCCCCGCAGGCGCCGTCGGCCGTTTACTTTCGAACGGCGGCCCCGCGCGCTTTCCCATTGGCCGACGCTCCGCAATTGAATGTTGCCGGGAGATGGCACCTGCGTCGGAGGCTCCGCGAAGCCCCGCCCCGTCTGGGCACCTGGAGGCCTTCAGGGCGGAGGGCGGGGAAGCGAGGCAGTGCTCGGCGTCCGCGTGGTGGCCGGCGAGCTCCGTTCTGGCTCGAGAGGCTGCCTGTCTGCCCCTCGCCGGGTGAGTGCAGGCGGCGGCGCTGGGCCCCTCTCCGCTCCCTGGGGCAGAGGCTGCTGTCCTGCGTGTGTGTGGAGGAGAGTGGAGGGGCGTGATGGAGGGAGTGGGCTGGGGGCCCGCATCTATTCTTCCCTCCGGCCGCATTTGGGGGGTTCGGGAAGCTCGTCCTCCTCTCTCCAGCACGGAACCGCCTCTCCGAGAGGGAGCGGCTCTCCGGGGTGGGGTCGGGGAGGGGAGCGGAGCGGAGCGGGGCTCCCTCCGCGGGAGCCGAGCCGGCGAAGGCACTTCGGGAGGGAGGCCCGGAGGCTCCTCGTCTGCCTCCGGGGAAGGGGAGGGGTGGCGGGGAAACTGCTGTTCTGAGCCCATTGGTCCGAGGTTCTTTTGAGGACTTACCAGGGGAGGAGTATTTGTGCCCATTTTACAGATGTGCACCCTCAGTTCTGAGGTGCATTAAGTGAACGTGACCCCAGGTCTCCCAATACTATTTTGATGGCAGAGCGGAAAGGTAAACAGGCGCCGTGATGGAGCCGCCGAAGTCGCTATTGCAGCGTTAAGCTGGCAACACCGTCCAGGGCCCTGGATGCCTCCTGTCCGCTGACCTCGAAGCGACCCAAAGTGGCCGCGAATGTTTGCCCCCGCCCGTCACCAGGTCGGCTGACACTCCTTAGGGCTCAGAAGGTACTTGACGTTAGAAAAGAGGCCCAGGATCATTGGGACTTTTAAGGAACAAATGATACCGCCCTTGCTGCTGCAGCAACTGGTGATGTTTTTCACTACTTCTTAAAAAAAAAACACAGTGTGGCAAGAGGAAGGTAAATATCAAAGACAGTGAGAGAGAAACCATTCTTGCGGTGTCCTATTTAATGTGTATTTTTAGAATGTAACTTCTGAAACATTAAAACTATTTTGATTTTAGAATAACAAGAATCTGGAAAAGTTGGACAAAATACAATATCTTCAGTCTCCAAACTAGAAGACCAACAAAGCAGGTAAGCTCTGGGAGAGCAAGTGAATACAAAGTATAAATTTTCAGAAAAATTTTACTCTCTGGTTAAATTGCATCACTTCTTTTTTAGTTTGGGGAAACAGGTTGATGCCAGAATGCAGGAAAACAGTACAGATGTGCAGAGTTAAAATTAGATCTGACGATGGGATTTTTTTTTTAATTTGAAAGAGTTATGGTGATCCTTTACTGTTTTGTTCAGTTTATATGTACGAAAATATTTTAAAAACTTAACCTACGTGTATAGGAGGCAGAATTATAGTATTTCTAAAGTAAGCCTTTAATTGCCTGAAATGTGCTTGTTATCAGTTAGGGCCACAAAGATGTGAACCCCAATCTGGGTGGTGGCACTTTTCCAGACTTACAGCTGACTCACACTGTACATCCTAGAGCAAGTCATCTAACTATAATGTAAATATTTAGTGATTGTAAAGTGGAGTGTTTCATAACCACTCATGCTTAGAGATGAAAGGCAATAACACGTTAGTGAATTAAAGCTTACAAATATTGTTTCCACGGGAGAATGGCAGTGATATTTTTGGTACTGCTTCATTCTCCATCATTTGTTGTCAGCGCTGGCCCAGCCATAACAGGCTGGTTAGACATTGTGGAGACTCCATAGGAAATCAGTCCCCAGGAGAAAGACTGCATAAAAAGTTTAGAAATTCAAAAATGTGTTTTTGATACTTAAACACCAGAAATTTGTGAAATAATTTGTTACTAGATGATGTAGCCTCAGGTGTCTTCCTGAGAAGATTTTTTATATTCATATTTCTTGGTGACTTTTAAAACAGAAGCAGGAAATCTTGAACTAATTTATCAATTTTTCTTGGGCTTTTAGTACTCATTGGAGGAAAAGAGCATTTATATTGGATTAATGAAAGTATGTCACTTTGATAATGACGGTGTATGGCTTCAGCTATGCTCTCTAGAATTGTTTTTAACCCTATAGATTTTGCTGAGAGTGTTTTTATTGTTGTTTCACGTCAGTAAATTACATATTGGCTGGGTACAGAATTCTGAGGTCCTGTTATGTCCCAGACCCTGTGGACATTGCTACGTTGTCTTCTAGCATTCCTTGTTGCTTTGGAGATGTTCTGGGTATTTGCTGAGGTGTAACCAACATCTGAAGACTTGGCTGGCTGCGGTCCGAGATGGGTCTTTCACTTACATGTTGACACACCTCATTGCTTGTCCAGTGGGTCTCTCTCAGCAACCTATCAGGCTAGTTAAGGGCCATACCCAGAACTGTTGCAGCATCACTTGTACTGTGTCCTACTGGTCAGAGCAGTCACACGCGTCCTGTCTAGATTTTGGGGGGGGAGAATAGAATTCATCTGTTGATGGGGGAGTAGCAGCGAAGTCACATTACAGAAGAGCATATGTGGGTGATAGTTGTTGTGGCCATCTTTGGAAATTACAGTCTCCCCGAGGAGAATTTGGAGACCATTATGTTCCTGTGCTCCTTTTTTAGGTACCTTACTTTTCTGCCAGGATGTTTATAGTATTTATTGCCTTTATTTTTTTTCTTTAAAATTTTATTATATTTTTAATTGCATGTTAATAGTTGAAATTAAAACAGCAGCATTTTAAGTTTATAATGAAAAAAAAAGGGCAGCTCTCTGCCCTCACTCTCTCCACTCCTGATTCCTGCACTCCAGAAGCAAGCACTTGCATTTCTTTTAAAGTATTCCTAAATAATAGGCCTTTTATGTGATTTCTTGATTTTTCTCTTATAGGTATGCATTGACTTCTTATATGGGAGGATTTAGTGCTTAAATGCAATTTCCTTCTCATATTCCCACCCCCCAATATAATTATATAATTTTCTTAGTTTGGGCTGTTATAGACTGGGTGCCTTAAGCATTTATTTCTCACAGTTCTGGAGGCTAGAAAGTCTAAGATCAAAATCTCACCAGTTGGGTTTGGTGAGAGCTCTCTTCCTGGTTTACAGATGGCCATTTTCTTGCTGGGTCTTCATATGGTGGAGAGCAGAGAGAGAGAGAGGGATGATGGGAACGTGTTTATTTTTGAGAACTCTCATGTCAAAACTATTTTAGTCAACATTGAAAAGTTTTCTATATAATAAAAGTGTAGTATGCAAATTGTCCCCTTGTCTGGGAGTTCAACCAGGAGGCGGGGCCGGCCGGGGGAAGGGAGGGAGTACCTGGCCGGCAGGCGCGCTAGGGACCCTACCAGTGCACAAATTTCATGCACTGGGCCTCTAGTTTTTGTATAGGTTTACAGTTGTGAGTACACAAAACACATTTATTCTTGTATTATTATTTATTCATTAATTATTGAATTATTTACTATTAACATATTTTTGCCCATCCCTGTATTGAAGACATTGATTCATTGTCTTATAGGGTCCAGTGTTGTTACATGCATACAGCATAACTAAAATCTAACATATTTATCCTAGAAAATATACATAGCCTACAGTTTTTTCCTCACAACATGAGGAACTGTATTTAAAGGGCCAGAAGGTTGAGAACCACTGCTTAAGAAGCAGTGTTTACTTGTGAGTGCTGACTGTGTGTCACATTTTGTGCTTTGGACACAATTTCTGTCCTTCTTGCAGGTTTACATTCTAATGGATAGAAAAATGTAACAAAATACAATCCAGTTAAATGCTGTGAAGGGGAAGTGCAGCAGTTTAGCTGAGATTAACAGGGCACTTAATCAGGAGATAAGGATTTAAGTTGAGATTTGAAGCATGAATAAGAATTTGGTTTTGAAAATGGTGAAAGGAGCATAGAGCTAAAAAGTCTAAAGAGGTTTTTATGTTTATGAAAAGTATAATTTCTTGTTTGAAAAAATATTTTTATTTTTAGAGAGTGGGAAGGAGGAGAGAGAGAGAAACACCGACATGAGAAGGAACATTGATCCTACCGAGGATTGAGTGTGCAACCTGGGCATGTGTTCTGCCTGGGAATAGAGCCTACAATCTTTTGGTGCATAAGATGATGCCCAACCAATTGAGCCACACTGGCCAGGGCGAAAGTATAATTTGTTTTCTCAAACTTTTATTAATCTTTTTATAGAGGAGGATTTGGTAATTACCTGAATGACATTGGGTTTTTTGTTTTGCTTTTTAAAATTCTTGAAACAGTGGTGTGACTTGATTTTTCTCTATACCTGGGATTGTGGCTTGCATTGATAGGTGCAAAGGAGAATTAAAAGGTGATAAGGTGCAAAACTGTAGGCTTGTTGGAAATGTCAGTAATAGCTTGCTAAGAGGTCAAGTTACTTGTGTCAAAGAGGGTCTCTGAACTATTGCTCAGCTTCTTGCATTAAGGAAAGATGACTAATGGTGTTCTTTACCACTCATATTCTAGTGGTCAGTAATTTTTTTTTTACCACACTTCATTTTTGAAACTGATTTTTTTTAAAAAATATATTTTATTGATTTTTTACAGAGAGGAAGGGAGAGAGACAGAGAGCTAGAAACATCGATGAGAGAGACATCGATTAGCTGCCTCCTGCACATCCCCCACTGGGGATGCGCCCGCAACCCAGGCACATGCCCCTGACCGGAATCGAACCTGGGACCTTGCAGTCCGCAAGCCGACGCTCTATCCACTGAGCCAAACCGGTTTCGGCTTTGAAACTGATTTTTATTACAAGGACCAATTTAAAAAAATGTTTCTCTCTTCTAAATCTTCAAATTAAAATTACTTTGACATTTCTAGAGTCAAAGCAGCCCCGCCTAGACTCTCTCCTGTTGCTTATTCTATCCTAAGCCTTCCTTGTTTCACTGTCTCCAGCTTTAATGAACGTGCTCTCAAAATTACAAATAAGTAAAAAATAAAATGACTTTAGAGTATTATACTATGTAAGCCCACCAGTCGTCCAGTTTAAGAAATAAGAAATTTATAATAAGAGTTACTAGAGAAATTTAGTAACTTGCTTTAGAAACTGTGGTTGAGCTGAGAGCATGAATTCTTTTGAATTAAAGAATATAATTTTGCTAAGCCTAACTTATTTTAGCATTTTAGAATGTAAGAAGTTTCACAGAGTAGTTATAATCATTAAGCAGACTTCAGCAGAAGACCGAATTTAAATCTTCATCACATAGGAACAAACTTAAGTAACTTCAATTTGAAGCATTAGAAATTAGAATTGTTTTGTTTTGCTCTTAAAGATATTGCATTAAATTAAAAAAATCTTAGTAAATACCTTAATTATCCCTTTTAAATGACAAGTACAGTATATTAACTATTCGGAGGGTAACAACTAAGACTTTATGTATGTGCAGTTATCTTTGTTATATGTAGACTTAAAATACTTTTTTCTCTTGACAGAAAATGTACAATTTTGAGGACGAGTTAACATGTTCCATTTGTTATAGTATTTTTGAAGATCCTCGTGTACTACCATGCTCTCATACATTTTGTAGAAATTGCTTGGAAAATGTTCTTCAGGCATCTGGTAACTTTTACATGTGGAGACCATTACGAATTCCACTGAAGTGCCCTAATTGCAGAAGTATTATTGAAATTGCTTCAACTGGTATTGAATCTTTACCTGTTAATTTTGCATTAAGGGCTATTATTGAAAAGTACCAGCAAGAAGATCATCCAGATATTGTCACTTGCCCTGAACATTACAGGCAACCCTTAAATGTATACTGTCTACTAGATAAAAAATTAGTTTGTGGTCATTGCCTTACCATAGGCCAACATCATGGTCATCCTATAGATGATCTTCAAAGTGCCTATCTGAAAGAGAAGGACACGCCGCAAAAACTGCTGGAACAGTTAACTGACACACACTGGACAGACCTCACTTGTCTTATTGAAAAGCTGGAAGAAGAAAAATCTCATTCGGAGAAAGTGGTCCAAGGTGATAAAGAAGTTGTTCTCCAGTATTTTAAGGAGCTTAGCGATATATTAGAACAGAAAAAAAAAAATTTCCTAACTGCTCTTTCTGATGTTGGCAATCTGATTAATCAAGAATATACTCCACAAATTGAAAGAATAAGAGACATGAGGAAGCAGCAGCTTGAATTAATGACATTGACAACATCTTTACAAGAGGAGTCCCCACTTAAATTTCTTGAAAAAGTTGATGATGTCCGTCAGCGTGTGCAGGTCTTGAAACAAAGTCCACTTCCCGAGGTCCAGCGTATTGAAATTTATCCTCGAGTAAGCCAAGTATTGAAAGAAGATTGGAGCATAACAGAAATTGGACAAATTAAGAAACTTCTCATTCCTGAAATGAAAATTTCTTCAACCAGGATGCCATGTTCCTGGCCTGCTGATGAAAAGGAAGTTGAATTTTTTAAGATTCTAAACATTGTTACAGTTACAATAATTTCAGTGATACTGATGTTGATCCTCTTTTTTAACCAACACATAATAACCTTTCTAAATGAAAATACTTCTTTGTGTTTTTCTGAAGTCTCTATATCTGTTTACCAAAGTTTATCTAACAATCTGCACAATTTAAAGGATATACTATATCGCACTTTATGTTTACTGAAGGAATTCATGTGGAAAATAGTCTTTCGTTGAAAATGCAAATCTAAATTCAAATAGGCTTTTTCTAAACAGGGACTAACAACCATTGCTAAATGGAGAAATATGGGTTGCATGGATAAGTAAAATAGCAAACTAGACTTTATTAGAATTGCAACAAATATATAAAAATATTTTAAATCATGTTTCTGTTGGATAGAAATGTATCAGAAATGAAGCAGTGTCTCTGGTTTTTGGTCTGAAAACTAGAATAAAATCTAGTTGATTTGAGTGCTTTCCTTTAAATGGATTTGAGAGGTTGACTTACTATTTTTGTGGCATTTAAACATTGTTTTACCAATATTGTCTTTTAGCATTAGTATGGTTGTAGTGATTGACTTTGCAGTTCTTCATAGCTTTTAGAAAAAAAGATGGTAAAATTTCTAAGTACCTATGCACTTATTTTTGATGTGGCTTGATTCTTTTGCATGGGCAAATAAAGATGGTGAGGTTTTAAAATCAAGCAGCAAAGTCTAAAATGATAAGGGGTTGCTTAAAAATGTTTTTGATCAAATAAACCAGATCCACACATTGTTTTAGATGGATTTAAGAGCCTTAAAATTGTTTATCAACATTCACTTCTAATAAAGCGATTGCTTTTGGAAATCTTAAGTGTTGTTAGAGAACAAACAGCAATAATTTCTAAGAAAGTATTCTGTGGTTTGTGTTACTTTAGGATTATATTTAACTTTACTTATACTGTCTTAATAAGGCACTCAGTTGCCAACTAAGTTCTTGGAAAAAATTTTGAAACGTTATGTATTCCGTTCTCATTAGACTTAGATGTCTACATGTTAACTGTATTTGTCTTAAAAACTTACACTTTTTTTTGCCATTCTCTTATGCTAATGCCTAAGTACCAATTTAATCTTATTTTCTTGAATTTTACTTAAAAGAGAGCCAACAGTAAGATGGCTGGCTAGGGCTGTTTATGACCAGCATCATAATATACCTCTCTACTGTGTGGGCAAAGAACATTTGAGATTTTGATTAAAGCATTAGTCACAACACAAAAACATGTAGCTTTAAATCCATGTAAATATTAATAAGCACTGAAATGTGTCAAATACTTAATTTCACATTTGTGAAGTAGGTATAACCCCCCCCCCCCACTCCCGCTTAGATGAAAAACCACAAAAAATTTGTTCAAGGCCATGTAATATATGGGGGACTCTTGCCAGTTTTTCGTGGACAAAACTTATATAGTATACATGAATACAGTCAGTACAGGCATACCTTGTTTTATGGCACTTTTGCAGAACATTGGTTTTTTATTTTGCGACTGAACGTTTAGCTGCACCAAAAAATTAAAACTTGCTGAAAACTCAGATGGTTAGCATTTTTTAGCAATATAGCATTTTTAAATTAAGGTATTTTAAAAAGATATAATGGTGTTGCATACCGAATAGACTGCAATTGTGTAGCATAAGCATAACCTTTATATGCACTAGGAAACCAAAAAAATTTGATTCGCTTTATTGTATTGTGGTGGGTGGTCTGGAACCAAACCCACAGTATCTCCCAAGTTATGCCTGATTCTTAAACATGCTGTTATCTTTTGTACTTTTACTGGGTAGATGAGATTGTGTAAAATTTAAAGTGTGTATTAAAGTATTTCTAAGTTTCACATATAACAAAAGTATATATTTTAATAAACTCTTTATATTTTACTTATATTGTCTTAATAAGGCACTCAAACTCAGGAGTGGTAACTTTGGAGTTTTCATATGGGTTGTGGGTGGGTATCATGCAATTTGTTATTAAAGTGTAATAAAATAATTCCACTCACCTCTACTCTCACTAATGTAAAAGCACTTGATTAATTTATAGCCTTTGAGTTACTTTTCCCTTCCATAATGATTGAAAACAAATGACCAGGCTGTGACATGTCACCCCATTGATCAGCAGGGTTGATTCGGCTGATCTGGCTAGCTAGGCATGGGTGTCTCCTTCCTTCCTCACCACTCCATGTGTGTCTCTCCCGAAACTGTCCGGGTTTAACCAGTTTTTCTGTCAAGGGGTATACAATTGCTCGCCTGCTAGAGCCTCCAAACAAAGCTCTCAAGCTCTATTTGTAGGAAAACTGGATATCAAACTTCCAAGATTCCAGACACATCCAAATGAGGCAATGCCTTTCCCCAGTGCAGTTAAAATTAAACAGGCCAGCTTGTGTCGCTCAGTGGTTGAGTCTTGACCTATGAACCAGGTCACATGCCAGGGTTGCGGGCTTGAACCCCGTGTGGGGTGTCCAGGCAGCAGCCAATCAATGATTCTCTCATCATTGATGTTCCTATCTATCCCTCTCCATATTCTCTGAAATAAAAATATAAAAAAATAAAATTAAAAAACAAATGACCACACTTGAGTTTCAGATCTTTATTTAAATGCACACTGTTACTTACATTTTGAATGGCTATGTTATGATACAGACCTTTGGATTTTTAGTGCCTAAATAATGCTTTACTGAATAATGAGCTAATTAACCCTTAAGTCCTCAGGATCAATATCTAGAAATTGAACAGGAAGGACAAAGACTTCTGATTCAATACCAATATTCCTTCTGAAAACCAAATGGTTGCCAACTTATTTCCAGTAGTATATTTCTTGAGCTAGTACAGTGTCAAAAACTGCTCCAAACCCTTGCAATGGGCAGGCAAAAACAATCCTCCATCTTAATTTCCATTTACACTGAAGACATTAACTCATATATATTTCATTCTTTTTATGAAGCAACTGTAGCGGGTATTTCCTTTTGTCACTGTATGCAATATCCTGGTCATGTTCAGACTTTCTCAGTTTGCTGCCCCCCTTGCAAGTATTTTAAACACCAAGTTTTAGAAAAGCATATAAACTAAATTCTCACCCTTATAAAAAATGACTCATTAAAAAATATGCTCCCAGTATTTGGGTAATAGTGATTGTCTAAATTAGTAAATTAAATGGAATGCCTTTGGAATTTATAAACTAATAGTTGGCAAGTTTTTCCACTGTAGGTCAAAGGTCCATGAGAGTATGTTGCATCTTGACAACATGAACTAGTTTAGAACTTGAATGTTAACTAACATTCTTTTAACTCTGCTGGTAGCAATGGGGGGGAAAGGGCAGTAACCTGAACTCCAGGCATCTTGTTTTCTCCATAGTCTGCTGCTTACAAAATTATCAGATTCTTACAATCTCCTAGAAGCAGGCAGGATATTTTATTAGACTTGTAACAGCATAAAATAGAAGCCAGTTTACATGATCAAGTTTAGGAATATGAATATTATACAGTTTATAATCCTTCACAAATAGAAAAATCAGTAATATAATACACTGAGTCTATGTTGATTCACTTCGACGAATCTTCAGTATAAACAAGTTTAACAAAGTCCTTTAGATGCAATTTCTTTTGGGTTTACTGCAACACTTTTTGTTATATTGTATGTCTTATAAATTCCAATAAGTCTATCTGAAATCTCAAACATATTATTTCGAAGAGAAATGATTATGAACTGGGCATTTTTTGTTTGTTCCTAAAGAGAAAGAAAGAATAAGTTAGAAATATTAAGTATTTAAAAGGTACATCATAAACATCTAAGCTTCTATTTTAGGCAATAAATTTAACCTAATATTGACAATTAAAATGAACAGGAATGATGGGATAGATAATTTATGAAACAGTATTTGGATTTGAGAGGAATTTGAGGATTTCTGGAAGGATGGTTGCTTAGAAGTCTTAGTGGATAAAAAAAGAAAAAGAAAAAGATGTAGCCTGGCCAGTGTGGCTAAATGGTTGAGCGTAGACCTATGAACCAAGAGGTCATGGTTTGTTTCCCAGTCAGGGCACATGCCTAGTTTGTGGGCTGGATCCCTAGTGGGAGCATGGAGGAGGTAGCAAATCAACGATTCTCTCTCATCATTGATGTTCCTCTCTCTCTCCCCCCCTCTTCTCTGAAATTAAAAAAAAAAAAAATCTAGGCAGAGACAGAAGGTTCTAGCTGTGTTTCTGCTACTAATTTACATTATTAATTTATATTTCACTTTTCCCAAATGGAAATATTTGGCTCAAGTAAAGAACTTTGCCTCCTTTGACACCCCAGGACACAGAGAACAGTTTGGAAAAAAACAATACGGTAAGTCAACAAATTCCATGTGCAATATCTGATGAACCTGTAAAATTTTTAGGGTAAAAACCTCTAAATGATTACTTACATATATATAAAATGCAACAATGGACACATTTTTAAAATCAAGGGCTGCATCAATCTCATCCATGAAGTACAGGGGAGTGGGTTTGTAGTGATGAAGAGCAAATACCAAAGCCAATGAACTAAGTGTTTTCTCTCCTCCTGAAAGGTTGAAAATCTTCTTCCAACTTTTCTTAGGTGGTCGAACACTGAAATAAAGAAAATCTTGTTAGTCCATAACTACCTTCCTCAGGAATTTCTAACTTGCTTTTCACAATTCTAAACTTTTTGGGGTAATTTTATAAAACTGTTATTGGAGGATGAACCCATAGGGACATCTACCAAAATTTTAAGATTTAAACCAGCAGGCAAGTAAGTACTTCTTTACGATTCTTCCCTCATTTCCAATGTAATTTTTACTCTGCAATTTTACATTCCTGATGTTAAACTTAAATGACTAAGATTTAAGAAAAAGATGTGTAAAATTAAATATTTGTTTGCACAGAATTTACGCTCTAAAACTGCCAATATGCAAATAATTTAGTATTTAGACTTAACAGAACAAGTTGCGTATTTTCTAATCTTCATACTCCACCCCTTAAAAAAAAAATACTAAGAACCTGGAGAACGTATAGAGCTATCTATAATAATAAAAGCATAATATGCTGATTAGATCAGACAGCTGAACGACCTTCAGACAATGCCAGGGCTGCAAGGGCTGAGTTCCTTGCACGAATTTTGTGTATGGGGCCTCTAGTCTACACTAATAAAAGAGAAACATGGTAATTGGCGTACGACCGCTACCCTTTTCATTGGCTAATCAGCAAGATATGCAAATTAACTGTCAGCCAAGATGGCGGCCGGCAGCCAGGCAGCTTGAAACTAACATGAGGCTTGCTTGTTTCAGTGACGGAGGAAACCAACGTTCCCGGCCTGAGGCTGCAGGCCTCTGAGCCTGCAGTTTAAGAAACTGTAACAAATACCACCGGACTTAAGCCAGGAGGATCACAACATTGTATGCAAAGGCCAGAAACCTACTTTCAGCAGCGGAGGCCTAAGAGCTGGAGCCAAGCCTCAAGCTAAAGCTGGCCCAGAATAATAATAATAAAAAAAGACAAAAAGGAGCGGTTGGGAGCTTCAGTCACCCCCAGCCTGAAAACAGCCCTCAGCCCCTCACCCAGACTGGCCAGGCACCCCAGTGGGGACCCCCACCCTGAAGGATGT